TTCTTATACAAACTTGTCGGTCAATGCATTATCAACTTGTCAATGGTATTTTTTCAATAGAATAGTAATTGGAAACATTATGTATTCTCTTGCGAGCGCGGTTAAATAAATATTTGACCATAATCAGTTATGTCAATGCAGTTTAAAAGGACAGTAAAAAAAGGTATAAGTAATTTATCACCTTTTTCATCCTGATCGGAAAAAGAAAAAATGAATATGTGTTTGCATAAGCAAACAAACTTTATTTTTTTTATTAATCAATAAAACTGAGCTCATGGTTTCAACAGTCATTTAAATAAATAAAAATAAAATTTATGCACAAAATTTAAAACGTTTAGCCATGTTAGTTTCAAAAAAGTTTATGTCAAATAAATCTTAAAAGTAATACATTAAACTTACCTTATATTAAATTTAATATCAACAGTTGTGTAGAACTAGATATTAAAAAAACTTTTTTGAATCAAGATCAAAAGCAATTTAATATTTTGCTTACAAAACAAGAAGCACTAAAAAAATAATTTTTCAATTATTTGAAAAATAAAAACGTTTCGCTTTCAGTTTCAAAATTGGAAATGTTCAAATGTTTGATAACACACAAAATTGGTTAATGTTAATAAAAACAACACAAAAGACGTCGACTTGTTGTAATGCGGTCACAATGGAAACAGATACGGCCACGCTATCGACACCTTTCAGCTGAGTCCTCTGTAGTTGCATCGGACAAAGTACACCGTTTGCTTTACTTTCTTCTGGTTGAAAAGTTTTAATTGAATTTTTGTGTTGCTCAGTTTGGAGTAGAATTTGTTGTTGTTGGTTTTCGCGTGGTCGGCCTCAACTCACTCAATTGAAGAGGGAGGAAAACGTAATCGACAGAAAGAGATCACACATCTTTTGGTATGGTTAGGGCTATTCAAGCGGAAGCTGGTCAAATCGATTGCCGGTAAAAATAGCAGGGTGGGCGTGTAAAGATATAAACCCACCAACTGCCTCCTGAAGATAGTGGATCGACAGTGGGCACTCACTTCAATTGTGAGGAACAACTTTCTTCCGCATCGTAAAGCTTTAGATACAAACAGCAGCTTCGATTATGTGAATGCGATAAACAAGGCAAGACGATATGTTCGATGAGTTTTCAAAGAGAAATGACACGGAAAACCTCCTGACACTGTTTTGATGTTTCGACAACGGCGAAGGCAAAAGCGACTGCGACGGCGACGGCGACGTGCACTGCACCACACTGCCTATCACAATAATTCTGCCGGCAAGCTTTTATACGATTTTTGGTAGAAGCGTGCAAGATTGTAAATAGTGTGAGAGAGGGAAAGGGAGAGAGAGAGAGAGAGAGAGAGAGAGAGAGAGAGAGAGAGAG